CTATGTCTGATAATTTTTGTAAAAAATGTTCAGAATTTTTAATATAGGAAGTTGTGTTATTTATTAGGGGATTTAAAATGTTTAAAATATATTTGGCTAAGGGATGTGTAGGTGAATTTATACTACTAACTATTGGTCGTAAAGGAATATTAACTTTATGAATTTTTGAAACTCCGTAAAAATGTGGTGTTTTACTATTGTGTGGTGTTAAGTTTGATCTAACGTAATCTGTGAATTCATGTTTAAATTTTTTTAAAGTGTTATAAATTTGTCTTTCAAAACGTTCTGTTGGATTTTTGTTTAATTTTGAATAACCTTTGTCATTTAAAAGTTCATTAATTTTTTGATCATAGATATTATAATCCATAATGACGGTCGTATTATTTTAATTAATTAAATTTCCTTTAAATTATCAGATCATTTCAGTTTTAACAAAGTTTTTATTAAGCAATTCTTTCTACGCAAAAATCAAATGATTTTTTAGTTTTACTTAAAATACCGACAATCTTCAAGTATTTTCTGTGAAAAATTATAAGATACATTTTATAGCAACACTCGCCTCCTTAACCAGTTTGCAAAAATGTTTGGAAAACTTTGCAGCTTCGAATTATGGACAAAACCCTAATAATTATTTCTAGGTATTTTTCCAAAAATATTTCCCCGAACTTAAAAAGCGATAGTTTATAATAATTTATTTCGAAAACTCTTGGAAACTGGGGTTCCTTCACTTTTAGGTCAATATTTCTGAACAACACTGTCGAAAAACAGCGTTTTTTTCCTAACGTCTTACTGTAGAATACTGGCAACCTGAATCTTTCTTTTAACTCAGTTCTGTTGCTAAGAAAATCTAGGTTACTTTTTTTTAGTTGTGAAAATTCCAGTCTCGGGTCTCGTAAAGCTATAATAAATGACTTATAACTCATGAACCGATGAGCGTTACTTAGAGAGCGGCAACAACTGAGTAGCGCAAGTCAACACAGTATTACCCAGGCCTAGTTTTAAAAACTGAAAAAAGTGCGCACCGCAAACCTCTATTCCGCAATGACTACTAGAGCTTTAGAGTCTATTGGGATTGCTAAATATAAGACTAACGGCGCTTGTAAAACCCGGCTTAAATTTGAATTTCCGCATTTTGTGTGAAAACCAGAAACATGTTAGTCCAGGAGGGTTACAGATTGGCCTGCTCTAACGTGACGTAACTTACATATCTATTGGAATCGCTCGGCAATGGTATACCTATTGAAAATATCGAGGTGACAAAGCTTGAAAAGTTGTGCCATTTGCATAAGCAACGAAAAAGTGAGAAAAAATTCGAAAATCGTGGTTTTTTTCAGCAACAATCGCATATAACTCGGTAAGTATGCATTTTGCAGAAAAAATGTATACTCATTAATTTTTTAGCTATGAAATGCTCGATAAGATATTGAGTTGTTGAGAGTTAAGAGTTGCTTCGATATCCGACGATTTGAAATGTTCGCTGCAAAATGCTCGAAAGCGCATAAAAGTACGTAAAAAACAAGGTCATTTTAAATCATTTATTTAACAATGAAAAAATAACCCAATCACGCCATACATTTAGAGAAAAGTACTTGACTTCAATACAATACGAGAGCCGCAAGGCCGATTAAGATCGGACAGACAGTTTTTGTATAATGCAATTGTTAATTAACCTACTTGGAAAAAATTATTTTTTCAATTTTGTGCCAGGCTCAAAGTTATGAATATTTTTTGCGCCCGCGGTTTTACACCTTCTTGGACTCTTAAACTATCGTATACAATTGCTATATTAAGCATTTTTTTATTTTTTTATTCCTTTTTCAGCCGTTTTAAAAAGTTCGAAAGTTTTGGCTTATAAACAAATTAGCAAATAGTGAAGCGGGACTTGCAAGTGGGAACAAATCAGAAAGTACGGAAAGATAGTTCTCAGAAAGACGCTTCTTTGAGAAAAAAATCCAATTCGGTCTAGTAGATGTTAAGATATGACTTCCAAAGTTGGGCAGCGTATCCCAGATAGCACAAAATATTACCTACATATTTATTAAATATTTATATGTTTGGTAAATATGTGATAGCAAAAGGAAATATTTTTTAAATATTATAAAAAAATATTTCATTCCTTTCGTTATTCCTTTTGAGGGGTATTTATAGGCTCACTTATAGAGTACGAGAAAAATATTGATATTTTCTTTTCGATGATTTCTAGAAGATATTAACAGTTAAAAATTGAAATCCAACTTTGTTATTAAGCACTATTTTGAAATTGTTCCATGTTTAATTGGTAGCATATTGGAATAGTTAAGCATTCAAAACGAAAAATTACGATCTTTGCTTCAAATTAGGAAAATTCTTGATATTAAAAAAGTTATCTTCTACAATTTTTTGATGAAAAGTCAAAGCGGCAATGATTTTTTGTCATTAACAGATAGTTACAGGTAGATAGCACTTGGGAAACAACATTGTGTTGCTTATTCTGAAGCTCCTTTTGCGAATTTGCCGATATGCCTTTCGTTCTCGTCTAAGTCTACTCCTCCCCGCTATTGGAATTGTTTATATTAGGCTGGAAGAGTTGTTTTGTTCACGGCGATCGTCAAAACCAGTCTAATTCAGAATCCTGCCTTTAAAAATGTACAACAATGTAAACAACAAAAAAACTGGAATTGAACTGCGAAGCAACGGAATTAGTCATCCAAAGGGCGTCCAAGCAAATGATTATATCATCAGATTGATTCTGTGGTTGTGGTCATATCGCATGAATTTTTTCCAAACGCAGAGCAAATGTTTAGTTACTTACGGTAAACGAACGAAAATAGTGGTAAGTGCTTACTGCTTTTATCCTGGTGTCTTACCGGGATATATATAGAGTGATTTGGTGCCAATAAAGTGGGTGCGGTAGATCATCCTTTCCGTTAACTGCAGGATTTATTGCAAGTTTTTAAATTGTTTCAATTCTTCACTATGTGTGTAACCTTTTTGAGGATTGGAGGATTAATTGGAAAAAAATGGTAGATGGAGCACCAGCTTGCAAAAAGCTGGTATGTTCTCTTCTCTATCGATAAATCTCATAGCTCGAACTGATTTTAGGTTTACCAAAAGAAATTGATGTTTTATGCATTCTTTATTTCTCTCTCTTTGCTTTGCTGTTTTAAACACATTTTCTCTTTTCTTTCCAGATGGCACGATGCAGCTTTCGGTAAGTTTGGCATTACTTTGTCCCCGGTTGTCATGTAGATGTAGAACTTTTAGTCTCATATTGTTGATTTGTATTTTATGATATTGTTTCATGTCATATTTATTCGACGAGAAACGACGAGGGAGTTTCTGGATTCTGTATTGGGATTTTCAATGTTTTTAATTTATTTTTGTAAAACTAACTTAAAATCATGTCTAGCCGTTTTTATACATTTACTCGATCTTTTCTTTGGTATACTGGTTTTACATGAATTTGTACAGGATAAATGGAAGCTAAATGTCGTTCTCCTGTGAACTACAGTTTTTGTGTCGTGTACTGTATTTTTTATGAACTATTGCGGTTTTCCTGTTTTCAATTACACTCTGAACTAAACGGCTCTTGTATTATATCGGATTGCTCAACTTTTCTCTATGTTCTCGCTCAGTTTTTTAACATTAATTCTTAAATAGTCAGATTTCTTTGATATGCAAACTTGTGGTGTTATGTTGCGAACACTCCTTTAATTATCTTCGATGCTAAGATATCAATTATTAGTCGTCTTTCTGCTGTAAATTAAAATATTTGCTGTTTTTTTAAGTTAATAATACTCCAGAATCCAGAAGGTATGTGAATCATATTTATTATTTTGTGATGGTCTAGAGGATAGCGCCTGTCGAAGAGGTTGCATGTGGTCCTGGCCTACCAGTTTAGATTTCGCGGTATTTTTCCAAATTTAAGTCATTAAAAAAATTATTTTTGACAAACGATTTGTATTAGGGAATTTCAGTTACCAGCATCCATCCGACTATTCCCGGTTTTTGCTGGCTTTTTCTCGGTGACTAGACTTATAGCGGTTTCAACCATTGGAGTATCAGCGTCTTCTTGAGCTTGGTCAGTACGATATCCAGAGAATGCATTTTTTTCTCAATTTGGATGGTCGCTATTTTATTATTTAATCGTTTTCTGTAGAACTTGCGGGATGGGCCAGTTGACCTATGACATCGCGATTTCATCCGAAAGCGAGCGCTCCGATTTGGAAGCACCTATTTCAAGTTTCCCAGCCTATCCTCACTCCTCCTAATTTCGGCTCGGAACGCGCATTACACAATGTTTATGCAAATTTTTGTGCATGATGCACACGTGCAATGTAATTTTTGAAAGCAGATGCGAAAATATCTTGGAAAAACCTATCGATTGGTAAACAATTTATGGTTACACCATTAACTGTTACACCGTATACCCTGCCCAACTTTCAAAGTTAATATCTCAACATCTGCTGGACGGAATTTGATAATTATAAAAAAAGAAGCGTGTTTCCGAGTGCTCTTTTTCCATTGTTTCCGATTTGTTCCCACTCGCAAGTCCCGCTTCACAGGCTAATTTGTTTATAAGTCAAAATTTTGAGACTTTTTAAAACCGCTCAAAAAGGTAGTAAAAATTGAAGAATGGTTAATATAGCAATTGTATATGATAGCTTAAGGGTCCAACAAGGTGTAAAAGCGGGGACGCAAAAAAATATTCATAACTTTGAGCTTGGCAGAAAATTTGAAAAAGGTGATTTCTTCCAGGTAGGTTAAATAACAATTGCAGTATGCAAAAACTGTCCGTCCGATCTTAATCGGCCTTGCGGCTCTCGTATTGTATTGCAAGCAAGTACTTTTCTATAAATGTATGGCGTGATGGGGTTATTTTTTCATCGTTAAATGAATAGTTTAAAATTACCTTGTTTTTTACCTACTTTTTTGCACTTTCGAGCATTTTAAAGCAAACATTTCAAATCTACAGATATTGGATCAACTTTATCTTGTACAAAATTTTATAGCGAACACATTTATTAGTACATTGTTTTGCTAAAATCCATAGTTACCGAATTATATGCGATTGTTTCTGGGCAAAAACTGAATTTTCTCATTTTTTTCTTCACTTTTTCGTTGTTTGTGCAAATAGCACACCTTTTGAAGCTGGCGCACCTCGATATTTTCAATTTGTGTACTATTCCCGAGCAATTCCAATAGTTACGTGACGTTAGAACCATAATTGAAAGATTTCGTCGTAATTCGCCTGGCCTATTTCTAGATCGATGTAGCAAACACCATTTATTTTGGCAAAATATGTTTGCCTTACCAGAACCGGTGATTAAACCCTCGCCCGCAAAAATCTTCAGCAGCTCGTAGATGTCGTGTTTGTAGGCGAACTTGGGGGATGATAAAATTTTCTGAAACCGCTTTTGTTAGTGGGCCCTGTTGTGTATGTTCAGATAAAAGCCCACCTCTAAATGGTTGGGGCTGGAAAGCATGATGATCAAAGTGGGCCCCAGCCAGAATCTCACTGGGGCCTCAGGGTACTGCTTGCTCAGCCCGTAAATCCTCATCAGAATGTCTGCAAGCAATCGCCTTAGGGTCTTACCTTACTTGAGCTGAGACATACCTTCGTTTTTACACATGAACAACCAGGCGTTACCGATTAGGGGCAGCGCAAGGGGGCCCTGGAATTTTGCTGCCGCCCTGTACAAAAAGCGGCGCTTCCATGCAAATTTGATTGCAACCGCGAGCAAAAACACTGTTAGCAATGTGAGAAGAAACATTACCGAGAGCGAGCGAGTGTGATGGACAAATGCACTGTCTTCAGGTCACAATGCTCTATTAAGGAAAATGGCCATTAACCCGATTGGAAGAAACCAGATTTTTGCGTAATGTAAAGCTCGTGATGAATCGGGGGCAATTGACCAGATTGCCTTGAGGTGCTGACATGTTCAGTTTTTGCACATCAGCGTGTCCATTGACCCATTAAAGAGGGCTGTTTAAAAAAACATCCAATAATTCTTTATTAAATTCTTCAACATCTATTGAAAATCTGCACCAGATAGCCGGCAATTGGTCGAATGGACACATCAGTCATCAGTTCCATACTGCGCAACGTAAAGGGACAGTTGATTTCGTACTTAATGAGGATTTGTCCGATGATAATCTTCATGTTCACGTAGCTGTATTGTTGAGCTGTAAAACCCGCAAGTAATTGCCTGGACAAGTCCAGTTAATCCCAACTACTTGCCGATGCACCTGCGTGGGCCTGCACTAAACGGCAGGAAGGCGTACGGGTGTCTTTGCGCGATTTCTTCTTCGGCGAAGTGTTCCGGGTAAAATTCCTCGGGTTTCTGCCAGTGATTCGGGTCGCGATGGACGTTAAAAATGCCCAGAATGATTGAACTGCCCTCGGGAATCGTTGTGCTTCCTAGATTGAAAAATGTATCGATTCCTTGCTTTGTTGCCCGGCAAACCAATTGAAAATTTGAGTTTGAAGAATTGCTGGTTGCTTTACAGTGTTGAGAAACGTCTAGGCGCAGAAAAGGCTCCGCGCCGTTTCCAGGTTGTAGAAATATTTGACGTCAATTTTCCGCGTTTTATCCGTCACCTCTGTCAAGCATTTACCCATGTTTCCTATAGATGTGAATGAAAAATTATTGTGTATAATTGAATGTATTTGTATAAGTGTTATATATAATTTTGTAATTTATTGAACCATGCAGAACTTTTGTCAAACATAACTTTTTCGTAGAAGTTTTCCATATGGTGCTAAAACTTTCTTCATTAAAAGCTACCACAAAATGTTTAAAATTTTTCTTCAATTTTATTTTCCATTATATTACTGCAACACGACAACAGCGCACGGAGCCCTTTCTGCATTTAAACGTTAGTCAAAGAGTAAGCGACATAACCTTTCTAGGCGAAAATCTACGTTCCTGTTGACAGATATTTTTTTATAAACCGTCCACACTAGTCCTGGTTGATCGCGCTTGCGCGTTTTACTGCCGGTTTGATATTTCCATTGCGAACGAAATTATAACCTCACAAAAACCCGGTTTCCTGTGGATTCTAGCACATTTTTGGTTCAGTGGCTGTTGCTGAAATTTATGCTAATTTAATCGTTAGTGATTTATACAATTCTTGGAGTTTTAATAGTCATAGATCTTGTTTTTTTCTGCTTTCTAAAATAATGAACAGATATATTTAAATGTTGTCCATGACTTTCGCTTTAATTATATAATAATAAATCAAAAAATATGAAGCATAACAATTTTTTCTCCTATAAGATTGCATCTTAAACACAAACAAACATTGACCAGAAACAATTAACTAAAAAAAAGTAAACGAGTTTTTCTGAGGTTAAGCGTCGCTATTCGTCAAGCAAAGCCAGGCGGTTAAAAACCAAGTTTGTGCATAGCGGCAACATGGCAGTGAGACGCGCAGGTGCAATCAGTCAGGACTGGTGTGGACGGTTAAGAAAAAAATATCTGCTTTTTATTGCATTTCTATTCTTGTTTGTATCGATCTTTATGTATTTGATTGCGCCCCTCAAAACTTGAAATCTATAACAATCTTCTTGTATAACTGGGCCTTTTTTGAAAGGACTCTAAGGCGGCAAAATCCTCAAATTAAGATTAAAATACTTGCCCAACTTGAAACTCTGTGCCACGTCGCGAGGCAGAAAAGGGCCCACCGGAAAGAGCCTCATCGCCTCATTTATGCACATCTCCATGTATTTGAGCTTGGCTGCATCTTCCAAAGTAACCAGCTGCCTCCCATCTAGCACTTCTTGCAGTTCCTGCAGCACCTTGTTCTGAAAACCGCTAGGTTTGCTCCAGTTTTCTTGAGGGTCACTTTCTGAAACTACCTGAATATCTTTGTGCATCCCCAACATCATCAGTGTGAAAGCCAGCGCTGAGCTCTGAGTGTCTTGACTCTACAAAAGAATGGTCTTTGAAACGTTAATAATCAAACCTTCCTAGGCTGAGTTACGGTGGCGAAAAACGTCATCATGTGATCCTTGAATTCCTCCTCAGTGAGGCTGGCCGGGTTCTCTTTGAAGAGTTCTACCATGATTTCGAGGACTGATGGAGTGGAGCGTGTTTGGCAGCACTTGGTTGCGCCCTCCTTGCGCTTTAGAATTTCCGGAAGTTGCTGGCTAGCAACCTGCAATTTTTTAAATGTTTCTTCGTTGGTTTCAATACAGGGCTTTTGCGTCGCTATACTTCTTCTATGCATTTTGAGGCTAACTCGACCATCATTTGCTGCTCCTTGTAATAGGCACTGAGCCGGTACAGCAGTCCTGAGTGGAGCCAAAAGGTGGAAACCCTTTGGGAGAATATGTGGTAGAATCTAAGAAAAGAGTGGTGATTGCGTCAGTTGCATCGATATAGGGCATAATCAGACCTTCTAACATATCCGGGTATTAGTTTGTAGTCCGGGTTATCAGTGTTGGCATTTTCCAGCAGAATATCTGGAAGCTTGAGTTATTAAGCTTTCCAGCCGACGTAAATGTTAAATTTCCCGGCTTACCGACTGTGGCCTCAAAGGCCGACTGGTGAAGACTATGAAGCACATCAAAGCAGCCAGACCCCACTTGGTCTTCCAGGGTCTGGACCAGATTTAGCGCGTGCTTCTGGAACATTGCGCTGACGCTCTCAAGCACGCGGGGTCCAAAAAGCGGCTGCAGCAGCTTTCTTTGCACCTTATGCCGCGGCCCTGTCAGCGTGAACAGCCCCTTACCCATGAAGGGCTCAAGGAAACGGTACACGTCCGATTTCACTGTGTACTTTGATGACTGCATGACTTTCTGCATAATAATGCTCTGATTGCAACACTAGAAAGCCCCACCTGTACAGTCGAAGATTAATTGATTTACCTGCAGTTGATCCGGATCTTTGATAAAAGTCACTAGCCTTGGGCCGATCCAAAGGCGCAGCGGAGACGGGTAGGGCTCGGTTATTTTCAGAAGCTGTTTTAACACGTCTGAAAAGCGCAACACGTTTCTGATGCAACAAGTCCATTGCTGATATGCTCAATTTAAATGAGTTGAAAAATTACCTGTGGCGGGACACATGAAGGTAAATCCATTTCCGATGATGGGCAGAAGGGCTGGAGGCCCAGGCAGCTGCCATGACGCGATGTAGAGCTTCCGTCTAGATAGAAGCCACAGGAACCATAAAAACACCATGATTGCACCAATGGCTGCAAGCATTTTGCCGCAATTCCAGGCCCTTTTGAGTGCTTTGCTGCATCGAACTGGCCTTATATTTGATTCTCCCACTAGCAACAATCAGCGCCCATTGTTCCACCTTTTACCAATAGTTCATAGAGAAAAATGCGGATTTAAGATTGTAACGTTTAGTGTGCGATTGCAGCGAGGTCAAGTGAATTGCATAGTGGCTGCATAAAAATGCAGCATGCAAGAGAAGTTTTTGTTTTGAGTGTTTTCCTCTTTGCCCAGCCTGGCAAAAGCTGTTAAAACCTTGCAGGGTTTACTTATTTATTGGATTCGGGGCAAGCGATTGTCGCGCTATTACTCAATCAGCCTGATTTTAACGGCAATAATTCAGTTCAAATGGTCGTTAAAGGCATAAATTTGCCTGTAACGTTCGCCAAAGACTTTTACCGGTTGGTCAATAGTTAAGCGATTTTTATGGCCTTAAAAAATTGCATTTCAGGCTGTTGCTACGGGTAGCTCGAAAAAAGTGACCTGATTGGATTTTATATTATTTTATTCCGCAACTTGGACTATTACGTTTTTTTTTTAATTTAATTTCGGTGCCAAAGTTACTCGTGTTGCCTAAGGTTTCGTCAAAGCCCAGTGGGGCGCCATCTCTGGCGCCCAAGCCCCACTAAACTGGTTTTGGAATTGAGCTGTGCGATCAGTCGTAGAAGCGTCCTAGATGGCGCCGGTAGTTATCTTCAGACCTTGTATTTTGCTGATCTTCAACGAAGATCAGAAGAAACGGGATATAAAGTGAGTCATATGGAAAATCGTAATCGCTGTTTTTTTTTGGGGGATCGGAGGTTTTCCGCGGTCAATGCAATAAAAAAGGCAATTTTCCGCAAATGTCGGGATTATTTCTTATTTTGACCCATTTTGAGCACGTGTCACCGGCCATTAGATACGCTGAGCGGTCATTGTGGTCGTAACGGCTTTTACCATTTCAGCAAACTGTTATTAAATATTTCCTTGTCTTGGCGACTTTGCCTTTGGACGGCAATAATTGCCCTCCGGTTCTGGTCGACCATTAGCCCGGGCGTTTTGTTCATTATATTCCAAGATTACAGAAATTAACGGTCTTTTCCTTCATGTTCGTCTCGTCGCAAACGCACATACTGATTCAAAGGTGTTTAAGAACTACTGGGAAATTAATGAAAGAAAATAATTCGCTCTAAAAACAGAGATATTGGCAAAAAACTATAACCAAAACTTGGCAACAATGTATTTGATTGTGTGTACACAAAATCTTAAAATAGTTTCTCAAGAGGGCGGTAGTGCTTGTTTCTATTAATGTCAAAACGACCATAATCGTTGCTGTCACTTTCGCGTTATGCTATGTCATTATGCAACTCATTTCTAATCTGTCTAGAAGAATTTGTTAGAGATTTACATTTTCGACAAGCGAAAGCAACGAAAAATACACGTTTGTTGCACAGGCGGATAAAATTAGGAAAATGTCCAGGCTGTATGGTGGCATTTCAGAGATCGGACTCTCGGAATTCGCCGACCGCGTCATAATTCACCGGCTCGTGAAAAATTCACGTCATTAGTGGCCCGGCGCGTACCATAAATCAATGCGATTCGTCGGAACGGTGAAAAACGAGCCGACACTGGTCGGGCCATAAGTCATCTGTCGTATTCCATGTCCGATCGTGTTGTTTTACACTTTTTGCTACAGACCGAGCGCTTGTTTATCAGAAATTGCCTAATAGGAGATAGACGAAGAACGAAGCGACTGCGCCCGAAATCAACTCACTGTCATTGAACTTTGAAAGAATTGACGTATTTTACACCCGACAGCACTTCTGTTGATATCTGGATGGAACGAGCTGGTCTTGGTCTCATGGCCCCCTAATAACCTCGACTTGGCCTGCTGGATTTTTTTCCTGGAGCTATTTAAAGAATATTGGGAATGAAAGTGCAGTTACAAATGTTGTATAGTTAGCAGTTTCTTATGTTGCTAGCGACTGCTCCCAAACTTCAAATCAACAGGACGCATTTCTATTTGTTTGGTATTTTGCAATGAGTGCGGCAATAGTGCCGTCACTCAGGAAGAACAAATTGCCCAAAGGTTCTCCTCCTCTCTTTTGACGACTGGCAATTTACCAACACATTTATAACAACGGAGCAACGGCGCGTCGATACGGCCTCCATCAGGATGATTTATGGACGAGAGCTCGCCTTGGCGGGATTTATTATCCCGAATGTCGGAGGTTACGATCCGGAGAAGAAAAATTATCCTGTTAGACGCTGCTGAAGGATAAAGGAAAGTGTATTGATATTGTCGAGAAAGGATATTTTATTGGGGTTATACAACATCTTATATAACCTGGGTCGGCGTATACGAGATGAACGGCTCGAGTTTGACTGATGATGTTTTATAGAAATTGGAGATTTTTCGCTCGAACGGAAATAAAGATAATGACATTGAAAGGGGAACAAGTAAGTTTTAAAGATAAGGGCACGCTCGCACATCGCGGCCAGCCTTCAATATCTTACTCGAGCCGACGGGGCGTGTATTAAAAAAGCCGGAATCAAGTCGAAAAGCAATATATAGGAAAGCTCTTTCTCCAATATCCAGTGATTTACGTGCGAGACACGCTGTGCCGGATAGGATGCAATATGTCCGGTTGCCGATGTCGGCCATAACCATTAGGTTGTGGAGAAGTGGCCGCTTTGCTGACACCGAGAGCCAATATGCTCGAATTTATGGCATTTGGTTGGGGACCGCTGCTAAATCCAGACGGAGAATCATCTAGTATATGTTGGCTGTCTTATAAGCCGGATATTTCAATATTTTTTTCACTAATGCAATTTTATTTGCGAGGCGTTGCTGTTGCTTGAAGACGTGGCGCAGTCGCCAGCCAGTGTCTACTTTGCCTTCAGAAACAACATAAGACAAATACGGCCCCAGTATTCCATTAATTCGTGTAAATTTGCCGGGTTTATTGCGAAATTCCCCACTGATTACATCCAATAAAACACAGTGTTTCTCTTTGTAGTCGTTTTCATTATTTTAAGAAGCGATAAAATTAATCACCGCTTTGCTCCGTGCGCAATTATTTACTCCTAGACAAGACGGCTGGGCGCGATAAATCACTATCTCCTCTTTGATAAATTCACATAACGTGTTCTTAGGCGAAAAGCGTCAGCCAGCTCGGGAAATATTTATTCGCACAGTATGATCTCCTGCCAGCTGTCCACTCCCAGCTCGGTTGGCTGTTGCAACAACTATTGCAAACCAATATCTCAACTTGTCAGCATGTGGTTTTTCGCAGGTTTTGCCCAACAAACCGCAAAATGATCCCCAGTTGAAAGCCGCAAATGCGCCAGAATGCGCCGAACCAGTTCGGAGAATCCAGCTAATTATTGAGAAAATGCTAATGAGCTTCACGCTGAAAGGAATGGCTTGTCGGTGTCATCTTTTCTTGTACCCATTTATCAAAAACCGGGATATCTTAATAGGCTTTGCCTACCTGGTTACCGATATTAATGGTTGCAGATGAGCGCGTCTTGGGGACTAATTCGCCGCACGATTGCGCCCCAACAGATAATCATTATCTTTTCCGCCTGCATTGATTAACAACTAACTCTAGATTGAGAGCTCGTGGAAGACTGAAAGACGTGGGAATGTACGTATGTCAAAGTAATCAATTTTGACATTGACGTGAATGGAAGGCGAATGGTCACGAATGTGTGACAGTGACGTGACGTCTATGGAACCAGCTTAGAGTAATCATATACAGGATGTCCCATAAGAAATTATGAAAATTTTATCTACGGCATTTAGCACAACTTACATTAGAAGAAAAGTCAATTGATTAAGAAATACAGAGGAGAAAAGTTGATTTTTTATGATTTTTCTAGATATTTAGCAAACCACTTGGAAGTTTTTTACGAAAATTAGCTACTGAGGGGTTACTGAATAAACTTAATGACGCTAATAAAAAAACTGATCAGCTTTTGGCAAAAGTTGTTCAAAATGACCTCGATTAACTTCAAATGAAAATAGAATTTTACACGGTTTTAAATTGGAAAAACGTTGCAATCATACCTTATTAAATTATGAAAAGCTCCAATCTTAAAAAATTTCCGAACCAAAACTGGCTTTAATCCTTAGCCCTAAAAAATCCTGGAAAAGTGAAAGTGAAATTGTCAAATCCGTCAAAACCGAGAAAATTGAATTAATTTGTCATTTTTAGGAACCGCGGTTTTAAATTGAGGAATATATGGCAATCATACTCTATCAAATTATGAAAAATCCATTTTTTAAAATTATTTGTTAGTTATTTGATGTGGGTTTGACCCCCTGTTTTTCTGTTTCCGTTGACTTGACCCGGACACCGCTTAAAATAAAGATCACGGTAGAAAAATTCAACTAAATAAAACAATCGGCATATTTAAACAGTAGTACATTCACTTGTAAAGTGAAACGAAAGGGTCACATGTACAAATACTATAATCTAGTCAGGTTGATTTCAAAAAAGACTTTCTCTTCTCGTCAGCTGCAAACCGTTGTTTACTGAAAGGCTTTAATTCGTTGGTTTTTTTGGCGCAGTCGGCCGGTTTGATCAGTCATTGCTGATGTATTGAATGCAAAGAGAATAGTCATCATTGCGAGCAAGATTGTCATCTAACTAATCGAACATGCCATCTCGGGGTACTGTAATGATGATAGACCCATTTGCAAGTATAATTTTCACATTTCAATCATCAACGTCCGAGCCTGGTAATTGCATGTTTCTTCAAAATAGGTTTTAATTACAGTCGACACATCGTTTTAATCTCGCCTAATGACCGGGAGATTCCTTTTACCGGCCCATCAAACAGGCCGCCATCGTTTTCTCACAAATTAAATATTACCATTCATCCAGGCGATTAGAGGCTTATTTGTTGGCCGAGTCAAGTCAATTATCGTCGATTGATGAAGTCGTTTTTTCGGTTTTAATTAAGCTCAGCGTCTGGCGCTGCACGCTGATCATGTCAATGTGGCAAGGAGTTAAAAAAAACGAATTAGAAAATTTTAAATTCATCGACGGAATAATGCCGATCATCAATAAGAAGCCGTCGCGCAAATCCGCGCGG